TTACCACTCTTAAGAAATAAGCAAAGAAGTCCCTTTGATTAGCCTGAACCGCTGCATTTGCTCAACAGTAGTATATCGTTGGATTTTTCGATTAACGCTCTCCACTATACCGCGACATCGGTTAGCCGGATTTGCCGGCTAATTGTGTTCTGAGTAAGCACTTAGTTTGGCTTTGCGCTAACAAACTTCTAACTAGGGAACGCCCTGGTTTTTGTCCTAACAAATTTATTCATGTGTATTTGCTTCTGTAGCTAGTTACAAAAAACTGCAGTCACAAATTTAAGTGATAAGAAGGGTAGATCTCGGGAAATGCTCGCACCTCTCTAAACTTCCATATCCCTCTAGGAATTTAGGGTACACCAATCATTTTCTTGACCAGAGTGTTTCGTTTTCAAATCTCAAAAATAGATTGAAGCGAAAAATACCCATAAAAATACGCGGAGCTGACTACGCCAATTAGTATGTTATTATAAACAACTGTGCCAGTGATATTTAAACACTCTTCGGATTTCTCTTCCACGCTTCTACCAATAAAATTATTCAATTTGCATTGAAAAACTGGAAAGCAGGAAAGTTTAGAACAAAGTTTTTATGATATCTAGAAATTCTTGACGTCATTAGGAACATTATTCTATCTCCTGCCCACTATGAGGTTAATAGTGGAACCAGGCCTCGGCACAAGATCTGCCATTGAACCTTGCGAGAACGATAACCCACTTGTAAATCTAGGAAATTACGAAGTACCCTTTGTAATCTGTAGAAACTCATGCAAACATAAGATATTACAGCGTTTTGCTTGGAGCGCGTATTCTTAATTAGGTCAAACAATTCACGGCCCTTTTAAGGAAGAGAGAAAGTGGTTTGATTTGGTTATTGTACTATAAGTTGGGTCAGAGGATGCACAAAATGTGTTTGATATAAGGAAAGCAAAATTATGAGAAATAAAAAGAGCTTGCTAATCAGAGACCTGAGGTCCCTCGTAGGTTTCCGCCGGAGACCTAAATCACAAAAAGGTACAGTGATTCTTTCATTCTCATTCAGAGATTTTTCAAACATCTGTTCCACTTTCTGTTGCGCATCTTCACGTCAATTTTGGTGGTTATTGCCTATTCGCTTAGGAAAGCGGGTTTATATGTATATCTTGAAATTCGTTTAGAAATCCCGCGTGAACGCCAGTATCTAAACAAAATCGAGTCTGTACTGGAGCAGGTTCCTGAACGGTTATGGAATGTGTACGGAATTACCTTAATTGAGTATTGAATAGGAAAAGGATAATTAGGAAGCATGCGTGAACATCCCCGCTAGAAAGAAGAGAAGAGAATCAACATTCTTGTTGTTGAGGGAGCGGCCAAATTACGAATGAATTCCAGGTTTTACCGCAGACCCCATACGATTTCTCTCTTGCTTTTTTCAACAAAAATAAATTCCAGCTTGTCCTCCGAAGACCTTCCGCCGGAGTCTGATCGGATCTCTATAACATGACTATCGTTAATGACTGTTGAGCTGCACCTATAGCAATGAAACGCAGTGTATCCCGTTATGGTGACTACTCAATGTATTATGCTGGAATTTTTTTCATCAGCAACATCCACTTTCAAAAATGCATCTAAAAAAATTAAATTTTAGCACGATCTTGTCTTTGGACTAACATTCCAGAATGTTATAAAAATTTGGTAATGGTATATTTACTTTAAGAAATGTAGCCCAGGAGTGACGTTGTCTGCTGCTGCATGCTCTAACTGATCACGCGCAAAATAATAAATAAGGCCACGCGATGGAAGTAAGCAGTTGCAGAGAAGCCCGCAAAAGTTGTGGTCTTATCCTGCTATCAGCAAAACCAAAAGGAGTAGCTTATTACATATTCACCTCTTTCAGTGTCTGTTCGCCAGTCTCTAAAGCTTGACAAAAAGGAAACGCAAGATTTTAAACCTCCTGTTTTTCTAATTGTTATTCCACGAAATACAATATATTATTGGAAGCAACACTTTTTGTTTGCTCCAAATCATATGTTTGCCAT